ATGAGGGATTCTGACTTTATTATAGGCGTTAACAGGTTCAATGTGAGATGTTGATGTTAGAATTCTGGTGTCCACAGGAAGAGTTCCTGGGTTGTCAAGTGGGATGTGGAGGCTTATATGAGATGTGTATTTGGTGATAATGACATACCTAGGGAACAAGGGGCATGGGCTCTGGAGGTCCCCATGGGTGGGAGAGTTGTACTTATGCAGACAGGCCCTGTGTATCAGAGGAGAAGTCATGTGTGGGACACGCCACCCCTGTGGGCTGCCTGTAACACGATCCAAAACAGGACACTTCAGGAAATCTTATTGTGTACTTGATAGTCCAACAAGCAAGTGTGTTAAAAGTCAAGTTAAAACACTGTTTATATCAACCATCAGCATAACACTGCAAGCGATGCTCCCTAGTAAAGGTGAAGCTCAGCAGATTGTTGAGTTTAATAGCAGCACTGAGTCATCTCTTCTCTTCTCTCACTCTGCTGAAGAGCTCTACAGGGAACCCATCTAGCAGCAGCAGTGAGGATGAGGAGCTGCCCGGCCGGGATCGTGAAGGCTACATCTGTGCTGTGTGTCTGGATGTCTACTTCAGTCCATATATGTGCCATCCCTGCAGCCACGTCTTCTGTGAGCCTTGTCTGAGGACGCTGGCCAGGAACTGCCCCACCAACACACCCTGTCCATTGTTTCCAGAAAGAGAAAAAAAAAAAGACATCTTAAATTTTCTGTTATCTTTTTGGAAATGTGAATAATAATAATAATAATAATAATAATAATAATAATAATAATAATAATAATAATAATAAATGTTGTTGTTTTAATTTTCAGGAATCTTTTTGGGAATCATAATTTATTTATAATTTGTTGTTGTTGTTGATGATGATTATGATGTTTTTTATATTTTGGGGAATTTGTCAAAAGAGTTACCCAAGAGTTTTTTTGGGGGGTGGAGGGGTTTAAAAAAAAAATAGCTAATAGAAAAAATGATAATTAAAGAATAGCTAGCTAATAGTTAATACAAAGCTACTAATATTAATTTATTTTATAATTTGTTGTTATTATTACTATTATTATTATTATTATTGTGATTTGTCAAAGAGCTAATAAAAACTGTTAACTATAATATCAACGTTATTATTATTGTTAAATATTACTATTATTATTAATAATAATACATGTTTTTTTTCTCCAAAGCTCAAGGACACACCATAAATATGCAAACCAACATTGAACAGAACGTAAACAAAAAATGTTAGCAAGGAAAGAAGCAATGCATAAACATAACAAATAACATCAAAAGAGGGAAACGAGCAAAACAAACAAAAGAGCACAATAGAGCTCTTCACTTTGTAGTCCTAAAACCCTGAAGACAATTAGGATTTACGAGCAATCGATTTCCTCTGGAATTTCCTATGGGTTTAGATAGTGGTTTAGATTTGTGAGTAAAACGAGGTCCGTGGTTCACATTACTTGAAGAGATTTTCACAGTATTTTCAACAACATAAAGTCATACCTCAAGCCTGAATTTTTAAACCTTTGTGTGCTTAATAAAGTTGCTAACAAGTTGCTACATAACAAATAAGAGGCTAAATGGACTAAAACCCATTAGAAATTCCCAAGGGAACCCATGTAGCATTAGCCTTCTGGGTTGGCCTTTAAACTGTTCTGTAAGACAAAGATTAACAATGAGGAGGGAAGAAGTGCTGTGAGAATAGAGCTTAAGCTCAGATCTGAGGGAGAAAGTTCATGACAGTGAATAAAGTAGTCTTGAATTAAAGGACCTAAGAGTGCTGGCATGTAAAGATGGAGGAACTCAGAAAGATGGGTCAGAGAGGTCAAAAGAAGAATTTTGTATCTTAAACTATATATTTATTGACTGCTGAATATACGGGTGCATCTCAATAAATTAGAATGTCGTGGAAAAGTTCATTTATTTCAGTAATTCAACTCAAATTGTGAAACTCTGTGTGCATTGAATTTATTTAATACACGAGTTTCACAATTTGAGTTGAATTACTGAAATAAATGAACTTTTCCACGACATTCTAATTTACTGAGATGCACCTGTACTGAATATTTGAATATACTGTAGTCTGCTAATAGTTTTGCAGAGTAATGCATTGCAATAATCAAGACGTGCAGTGATAATGCAAGGACAAAATCATCTTTATGGCTAAGGATGTGGCATAGAGATATGTTATGAAGATATTGTTAGCAATGGAACTAATGTGGGCTTCAAATGTAAGGGAAAGATCAAATGTAACATCCTTCCCTCACATTACGGCCTTTTTTAATGGGATTGAGCACAAGAGTGAGCGCCTACATTTTTCAGACTCTTTTGGAAGTACTTTTTCCATTTATGTTGTCCATAGGGATTTAAAAACATTTTCTTAGTGGGAACATGAATGGGATTTTTCAGTCCAGTTGCACTCTATGGTTTTTCATAGTGATTGAATAGAAATTAGGCTCTTCTATTGATTTCAAATGACATCAAATATGGCAGAATCTGATGTGAGAAACAAGCTGTATTAGATATGATAAATCTATTTGGGCTTTCTTAAAGTAATGCACATTGCACTGAGCACACTAATGATTCACAGATAAATAAATTCACACATCCCACTCTTCACAGAACTGAACCATACAGCCCGTACGTTCTTCCCAAAAGAATACCTGTCTCGGAAACAGAGTTTCCAGAAAGCGGGCTGTGCAAAGTGGCCTCTTCCAAGCTGCCGTAAACAGTTTCTAATTTTTGGAGGTAAAACAATATTTACATCTATTTCACTGATTTCCCTACTAAATAAACTTTGCAGATTCAGTTGTTATTCTTCATATGGTAGTAATGCTCATTGTTCTTTGTCTTGCTCTTTTTCTCTCCCACTCTCTATATATCTTATATGTCTTTCTTAGGCTTTCAAAGGCAGGCAAGTCCAATCGGCAGACGCCAGTTCCCTCACGGGGGCTACCGGCTTGATGCCTTCAACTTTGAAGATGATTCGCATGGTTGGCGATTTTACATGGACATGGTGATCATCTATATATACTCCGTCAACTGGGTCATTGGCTTCATTATCTTCTGCTTCTTCTGCTATTTCTTCTTCCTCTCTTTTTAAAGAGAAGGCACAGGGAAGCTGTCTGCGGTGTTTCAGATCTTTCAGGACAATACAAAAGTCTGCAAGAAGGGAATCATGCGCTGCAGCTGCTTCTGGACTATGTGTAGGAAACACCAACCAATCACAGAGAGAAATGAATTCATGCAGCCAAAATTCCAGAGCGTGATGATCCATTTACTGTAAAGATGGATCATGATTTTTGAGATTGTGGTTTGCCTAATATCTGTTTGCTTTTAAACAGAATTTTGGCAGACTGCGTGGGGAAGCTTTGCATGGATAATCACACGAGTGGACTATTCATTTCACTACAAGTTGTATTCACATGCTGTATATCCAGAGTGAATGCATTTGTGAAGGTCTGCTCTTACAGCTAATTTCCAAAGTGCAACGTTCAGGTTTGTAAACTAAACTATCCATAATTACAGGCCAGCTTCTAAACTATCCATAGAATATGCTGAGTATAAGAATATCTCATTTGTTTTTAACCATTCTTGCTTGTTTTTACAGTATTTCTAAACTGGCCATAACGGTTCTTGGTCTGGTCTCAATACCTAATGCTCAGTATGTTGTCTTAGATCTGTAATTAAACCATTATCCTGTCTAATACAGACTTTTGCAATACTATATATATATATATATATATAGGTTATTTTTCTCTGCACATGATGGGGGAATAATTTGTTATTTGTTCCATAAAGTTCCATAAAATTTGACTGAAGTTAAATTTCACTCAATTTGCCGTTAATTGCTACTGTATTTTAGTGACAGATTCTTTCAGATGACAATAATTGATGTTATTATTATTTTATATTCAGTAAATAGATTTTATATTCAAATATTAATTTTACATAATATTAATCAATTTATGTTTTTTATTAATTAAAGAGAAAAAAAAACATGAAGCAGCAAAGAAATCTTTTAGTAGTGGAAATCTTTTTCTGCACTTGAAAAAAATATTTCATGTTGAAAGCATAATGTATCATCCTTTGGAAACACAAGCTGTCTTGTTCTACAACATGTCCAACATGTCCTAAACTTGTCAAGACACTCCATACTGACTCCATCACATCAATTCTAGTCATCTTGCACACACACATACATAGATATAGATATAGATATAGATATTACGTTAGTAAAATCTCAAATGCAGTGGTTTCTAATGATTTGGCAGAGTACAACAAAACAGGCTGCTATTAGAAAATCATCCAATTTTAAGTCTAATTTTGCTGCTTGTTTTTTATACAATTAGGATTTGATACGATAAACAGTATGAGTCAACCACTAAACATTTAGAACCACTAGAACATTTTCTATTAACCAAACGTGAGATACTTTACTTTTATGAATATTTAATAAGATTCATTTGAAATGGCTTACATAAGAAACATATTACACGCACACACATACATACCCACATACATACAAAACTTTAACCAGTCTTAAGATGATTTGTCTTCCAGCCTGATCCAATATGTCTGTCTGTTTGGTTTTAAAGCGTTTTTCCAGCTTGGCAATACACAAAGACCAGCTAAGACAGGGGCCAGTTGCACAAACTGCTTAGACTAGTTTTAAAAAGTTAGTCATCTATTTTGTTCTCTTCAAGACTGGTCATAACTTTTTTAAATCAGTTACGAAAACGTAGACTGGTCTAGTTTGAATTAAAAAGTAAGAAAAAATTAGATGACTAACTTTTAAGACTATAGTCTAAGCATTTTATGCAACCAGCCCCAGAAAGAAACTAACTATACGGTGTATTTGATTTATTTTTAAAATTCCAGCAGGTTAGATAGATTTTAGCTGCCTATGATTTCTATTGTATATTTTTACTGCTTCCTTTCAGTGGCACATTTGATGAAGCCGTGGCGTGAACACACTGGAGTTGGTGAATCTGTTGCATTAGTATTCTCATCCTATGAGAGTGCAGTGTGTTCAACCACGTCATGCCTCAAGCAACTGCACCTATCAAGGTTAGAAAAGCGCTCTTAGATCACCTTCTGCTACCTACTCTCAATAAACGCCATGTAGAGTTTATCATTTCAACTTGCGGCGCATATTAGTCTATTTCGAGTAGCGATTATTTGTCGCGGGGAGGTGTTTCGTTTAAAAGCGGCTGTTATTTCTTCGTTGAAGGACTATACGGGGCATCAAGAGATGTTTGCATCTGGTTCTTTGTTATCGCATTTCTCTCTGCTGAAGAAGATGAAGCCCTGCAAGGACACTTCAGCTCTCTGCTGGAGTGAATGAAGGTGACTCGGCTTCTGCATCGTGGCAATGCGGAGAGAATCCAGGAGCAAGACACGGGCAGATCGATCAATTGAGTAAGAAATTTACCAAACGAGTTGCAGCGCATTGATCAATCAGCATTTTATATCAGGGCAGTTTCTTCACTTGATGTGTATGCATGAGTTCTGCACCGAATGGGCGCAAAAACCGCCCCAGATCTGCCGGGACCATTTTCCAGATCGGCAGTAAGCCCCCGTCCAGAGAGCCGGAGCGCCGGGAGAGCAGCGAAGCTCTGCGTGCCGTAGCGGACTGCAGAATGGTGCGTATAAGCCTGCGTCATGACCCACAGCATTATTCCTCTCTGAATCCTGCTGATTGTTCAAGCATTATTTGAAATTCACGCAGTGTTCTGCAAGTGCCAACATAAATGTATAATGCGACACTAGGGACCGTTACACGTTGAATGATTTGGCTTGGAGGTCTGTGACTTGTCCTATGGTGCGGCGGTAGTTCCAGCTTCATTTTCTCGGGCTGATTTACCAGAAACGTTTCATTTGGCAGATTATGGCATGGAGAGTTAGTGCTCCATTTTAGGTTAAAACTGCGAGCACATTTGGAAAGCACACTGGCTTGTGTGTTGTGTTTGAGGAGTCTGCCCCATTAACAGGCAGAAGGCTTGTGGCAAGCCATGTTAACATTGACCAATTGCTTAGAATTTTTGACATTGAATTCTGTGGTGCAGATTTAGCTGTTCATTATGACTAATGTGCATCCCAGTTGCTGCTGGTAACTATTTTAGTGTTGCTATAAGTGCTGGAGTATTTGTAAGCAACTTGTGGCCAGTCAGTAGTTGACATCTGACCCACAGATTCCTATATAATTCGACAAAAATATGCAGTAGGCTATGTATAATGGAACAGTTGTCGCTATAGTAGTGAGTGAATAAGTGCTCATGACTGAATAGAATAGATACTAGTCACTACCAATGTTCCCTCTAATTATTTTTCTTGCTGAGCAAAACTTTTTTCTATTGGGCGAACATTTTGGCCACCTGAGCAAAAACATTTTTATACCAGAGCTGTACAGCTCACACACAATAAAAGTGTGAAACTTTTAACTTTAATGTGCTATTTACATTTGATTGATGTAACTAAATGATGAACATTTTAGGTTATCTGAGAAAACATTTTTTTACAGTGCTGTTTTACCAAGAAATGTTATTTAAAAAAATAGTTTAAAAAATATCATGCAGTACAGTTCAATTCTTTATAATAATATAATATAATATATTAAACTAATATGAAAAAATGAAGCAGTTCTCTTTCTACGAAACCTGTAAAACGCATTCACCGGTTCTAACTCTATAGCGACACCAACTCTATAGCGGTTTGCCAGAGCATTGCAATTATTTTACATTTCATTTTTGCGTCTGTCCTGTGCGTGGCATATTATTTCTTCTGCGCGGTCGCGACATAAGAAGTGCACGGCCGCGCACAGCTTAGAGGGAACATTGGTCACTACTGAAATAAATACTCATTTGTAATGAATAGTTACTACTGAAATAAAAATAAAACATAGCAGTCACTATGAGATTGCTTATGAGTAATTAAAAACATGAAAACATGCAAGTAATATAACAATAGATTCTAAAGGTATTTATGTTAAATCAGCTTGCCATTAAACGCTTCCTTTCCACCAAATGTTGATGAATGTCATTTCATCAATGTGTTGTCACGTTTCATTTACGTGCTTCATACATTTTCGAGGTTATTTTTGTGAGCTTTACATTTTCTCAGTTTGCATTTGTTTTTCTTTCTTCCATCAGGTTGTCCAGGAGTTCAATACACTTGTGGCACTCTATAGGGAGTTGGTTATCTCTATTGGAGAGATTTCCACTGATTGTCCCTCTCTGCGTGCGGAAATGCACAAGACACGCACAAAAGGCTGTGAGATGGCACGGACCGCACATCAAAATCTTTCTGCAATATCAGGGTAAAAACATAGTTCTGTACATGCATATAGCCCATGCTTTATATATATATATATATATATAATCTGGCATGTTAGATAAACTAATGTATCCTATCACTTGAAATATCAGTGAGTTAATTTATTTTACAGTTATAAAAAACACTCCAGTGCTACTGTGCATTTCTTTATGGGCTCAAGTATTTGATTATGGATGCAAAGAATCATATATGTACATTACATGTTAACATAGTGCATTTTAATGTGGGAGGGTCAATGAGACGTTTAGCTGAACATTAGCTTCTTTAGCTTTGTTTGAAATTAATATTTTATTTATTTATTTTTCATTTCTTTGAAATTTTTTTTAAATCAAGTAATAATTAGCTTGCAGTACCCCTGAGGCCCCTCTAGGGGTCATGGGCCCCCTGTTGAAATCATGTTATATATTATGAAACTGTGACAAAATTTCACCTTCACAGCAACATTTAGGTAATAAATATCAGCTAGTGCTGACTGGCTTACCATTCACTATATTTGGAAAGCAAGATAAATGTTAATTAAGTTGGAAATGATGCATTCTACTGTGCATTTACCATAAATCACAGATCTGTGACACGATTTCACATTCTAAGAGCACAATAAATCTTTACTATAGCTCTCAAATTGCCCTCCCCAATATTTGAAATTCTTGCACTGCTCTTCTGCACTCGATTACGCACCACTCTGTTTGCTGTTAGGATGACAAAAAGGTTTAGAAAGTGACATTTTAAGCTGGTCTGCTTAGCGGTCTGACAGCGCTCGTCAATGTCAAAATGATTGAGATTGCCAATCAAATCAAAGAAGGCGAGGTTTACTGTACACAAAAAACGAGCGTGAATTCCAGCACCAAGCTTCAGTTTTAATGTTGAAAGGAAGCAAGGTAAGATGGAAGTATCAAAACATTTATATCTGACAGCTGTGTTGCGATATAAATGTTAAACGACTGACGTCAGTGATGCAAACTACCCTACTTTTTTCTCAAATTGAATCAAAATAGGGTATCATTTATGTGATTCATGTCATTGTGAACTGAATGCGATGAGACATGTTTTGGATTTTCGACCATGTACAAATAAGAGTGAATGTGTGCATATTTTAAAATATTATTTGTATTTTTTGCAAAATGATTACTTTACATGCTTTATCTTTTATGCCTGCATTTGGTGCATCTCTCTGTTCCAGGTAATTCAAGAACAGAAAAATAAAGTATCCACCATGCCACAGCATTACACCTGGGAATTACAGAGCAGTAATTACAGGCATATGATTCTGAGAAATAATGATTTTCTGAGAATTCTCACTTGCCACTGAGCTAATGTTTAGAGCTCTAGATTGTCTGAACAGCCTTGGAAACATGCTGCTCAGAAATAGTCAAACATCTACTTAGAGAGAAATATAGTACTGAATATTCATGATACAGTATATTCACAATGATTTTGCTGACATCTTGAATATTGCCATGATTTCAATGGGCTTTTTATTTGGTCATGTAGTTTCATAAAGACAGTGTAATTTTATTAGTTACATGGCCCTTTTAAACCATCAAGACTGATGTTTTAATAGCAAAAATGGTGTTGGAACTGGTAAGTTTGATGTACTTCTGTGAATCAGTTCTGTTTCCAGACATCAACTCAAAACTCTAAACTGATGGTCATACAGATTTGAAAAAGACACTGTTAAGGAATTTCAGTGCAAACAATAAATACACATAAATTGAATATCATCAAAAGGCTGAAAAATACCAATATATGCAGTAAATGCTTTAGCTGTATTGCCCAGCATGACATACAATGTGTCTCAGACTCATGACTTCCATCATTGGTCACTTTTTGGGTGACTGCGAGGCATAGGAATGCAGGGAAATGTAACTTGTGAGAAATTAGACAGGTTGAAGTGCAGGGCTCGGGGCCAGAACTCTGCAGAATCTAGATCTAAGATGCATTATTGATGCTTTTTTCACAGCCCAGAAGATGGAGAAATACATCCGGAGATCTGCCGCCTCTTCATCCAGCTGCAGTGCTGTCTGGAAATGTACCTGACGGAGATGCTGAAGTCTGTGTGTCTGCTGGGATCCCTGCAGCTCCACAGGAAAGGTAATGCTGTGAGGGCACCCCTGGGCTCTCAGCAGGAAACAGAAACTGACGTTGATGAAGCCTGGCTTGTCCAACTGTAGAGTCTTCTAGTGGCTTAATGTTTGCAGGAGTTGACGCTGATAGTTTCTGTGTTTCGTATCTGATTTGAGCTTATCAGAAACAGTAAATATGGATGCTCTTGGAGCTGGTTGACTTGTTGCCCTGAGGTCAAACCTTGAGATGACACATTTTGACCATTTCAGTCTGCCAGTGATGTCTCACTGTATGTGTTCCAGGAAAACATTATTCAGGAGCTACAAAGGTAGACAGTAAGAAAGAGGACAGCTCTGACATCCCAATCCTGGAAGACACGTCCTCCACACCGCCGGACTGTCCGCAGACTTACTTCCTGGTGGCCACAGACATTGAGAACATCGAGAGGTGAATAGTCTGAGCTGCTGAACAGGATCTCCATTTCTTTTTCTATGAAACTGACAGTTTGAATCTGAAACGGTTCCTCACTGTTCTAGGGACATGACAGAAATGAAAAATCTGCTTAGCAAACTCAGGGAGACCATGCCTTTACCACTGAAAAACCAAGGTAATATCACTCGGCTTTCTGAATATTTTGGCTAATTTTACCGACATATTTATTGAAAACTTACACAAAATGGGCATCAAACAACAATCTTTCAGCACAATCACGGTCTTAAATTGTTAATCTGTACTACCGTTCAAATGTTTGGGGCTGTTTTTGAAAGAAGAGTTTTATGCTCACCGAGGCTGCATTAATTTGATCAAAAATACAGTAAAACAGTAACATTGTAAAATAGTATTTAAAAAAAAAAACTGTTGTCTATTTTAATATATTTTAAAATGTAATTTATTCCTGTGATGGTAATGCTGAATTTTCAGCAGATATTACTCCAGTCTTCAGTGTCACATGATCCTTCAGAAATGATTCTAATATGCTGCTTTGCTGATCAAGAAATATTTCTTATTATTATCAGTGTTAAAACAGCTGCTTCAATTCTTTGTGGAAACCTTGATATTTTTCACTTTGATGAATAGAAAGTTTAAAAGAACAGCATTTATCTGAAATCTATTTGAATATTTTGTAACATTGTAAATGTCTTTACTGTCATTTTTTATTAATGCATCCTTTCTGAATAAAACTATCAATTTCTTTAAAAAAAATCATACTGACCCCAAACTTTTGAATGGTAATATATTTAAGATTCACTTAGCATTAAAGATGGCCTTATACGTAATAGGATTATTTGACAGAAAATAATAGTAATAGTAATAATAATGCAGTTATTGTCCACATGTCCCCAGTGGCCACAATTTTATTTTTATTTCCATTTTGCAACTTTCAGATTTTTGCAATATTTTAATTTTATTCCAAAATTATATTTGCAAATTGGAGCTTATTTTGCCTAGACGGTAACAAAATTTTTGAATGTTGAATTAAAAATAATGTTTCATTAAATGTATATATTGGCCAATGAAAGGACAGGTGATCCTTTAATGGTTGCTGCTGTTTTACAATGATCTGTTTTTGTGTCTACAGATGACAGCAGTTTGTTGAATCTGACGCCATACCCGTTGGTCCGGCAGAGAAAGCGGCGTTTCTTTGGCCTCTGTTGTCTGGTGTCTAGCTAAGAGCTGTCTCTCCCAGAATCCAGTCACAAATGACTGCGTTTCCTAACAATGTGTTGACACTCACCAATCAACAGTACTACTGCCATTTCTCAAACCAGTGCTTTCTTTTGGTGAGTTCTGTCCAATTTCCTACTGCTATGAGAATAAATAGTAATATCTGTGTAACATCAGTAGTCAAACAAACACTATATAATATTTGATCAATATGACAGATTTTCATTTTTAACTGAATTTTCGTCTACATTATGCTTAGTAAAGAAAATGGTTTGTAGTATGAATACTGCTATGTTTGTCCACACGATTCATATGCTGTGCTTTTTGTCAAGACAGGTGTTGTAATGAGGCATTGAAGAGTGCTAATTAGAGCAGAGGTTATGATGCTAAACATTTATGATGCTTTTTTTTTTTTTTATACTGCACAACACGAGTGAATGTTGTCGGTTTGATCTGATTTTATTTGTATTTTTTGCTGTTACCATATTTTGACTACAGTATTATTTAGTCTTCCATAAACCGAAATCCTGTAACTTTTTTTCCTTTTTGTTTCAGCCTTTAGGAGTATACAATACCTGAAGAAGCCTTTGTAAATAAAGAATATATCTATAAATGGAAATTTTAGAGATGTACATATACAATGTAAACCTAGCGCGCAGAATTATTTTTCAAAACTGTGATTCCTTTAAAGAGATTGTCAGTAAAGGGTGGCATGTCTATCCATCTGGTGTGATATAAGTCCAGATTGGAGGGACTCAGCATGGGTCTTGCTTATTAATAACAGTTCTAAATGTGTCAGGCATGGTGAAGATACTGTAGTGTTTATGAAAAGGCGCAGTGTCGTTTTACATTGATAATAAACCTTTTTTTAATGATTTAACAAAACTGGAACTTTGTGTCTTACATTAAGAATTATGTTTTATTTAACATACAAATCACCATAAGAAAAGGCACAGGAATTAAATCTGTAGAATAATAAAAGTCAGTATCAATAGATATTACCCTCTTTTCAGAGAAACTCAGATTAGTCAGATATTCAGTAGGAAACAATATAAACCATCTGATATCCTCCCTATTATCCACAATTCTCAGAACAACCCCCTGACAGGTCACAGGCCCATTAAATTGATCACGTTTGGATCTCAGTCAGTTATAGGTAATTGGATTTGTTAGCACATTAATAGAGAGGCTGTGAAATTCGCACCTGGCAGCAGTAATAGAGGGTGCAAAAAAATAAAAAAAGCGTTTACAGGAACCGACATGGTTTTCAGATTAATTATTTGGCTGTGATGCTGATGCTGGACAAGCTGTTGGCAGAATCTGGGCTGGTTGTCAAGAGTTTGGCAGGACATCTGGAGCTGGCTCAATATGATGCTGTTCAGAGTCCAGTAGAAGTCCAGGGGCCTCATTTATAAAATGTGCGTACGCACAGATTTGATCTTAGAGTGTGCAGTACGCTGAAATCCACGGCAACGTTCATATTTAAAAAACGGTCTTTGACGTGGAAAAGTACTTACCGCCACGCCAGGGTTTGAGCAAGCATAGGCCTACGCACCGAATTCATCATAAACAACAAAGATGCAGTGCAAGAGATTAATTGTGCAGTGTAGTCAGTTTTTTTTTTTATTAACGGGAGTTTTTGCGAGATTAAACTGACCTTTTTAGTAGCCTGATATTGAGAGTTCTTTAATCGCTTTCTGTACACAGTTTATTCAATGTTGTTTTTTGCGAAGTCTTGTTTTAGCCTAGGCTACTACTAATGCGTAAAATAGAAAAAAATGCATTTGAGCAGCATTAGTAAACTGTGTAAATATAAAGAAATGCCAAATCACATGCAGTTTTTTTCAGACCATAATCGTGTAATAATTTATGTTATTATGATATGAAACGTCCAATTTTTCTTTCAGTAATGTTTTTTTTTTATTTTTTTTTTACGTTTTTCAAGAATTTCGTGATACTAAACATTTTATTAGTTGTCATAGCAAGTGATTTTACAAGTAGGATGGCTCACTTTTTATAACATGACTGAAATTTTTACTTCAATTCGTAGTTTATTCTTATTTCTGGAAAACGTTTTATAATTACTATTATTATTCTTATTTCTGTTGTTTCTAGAAGTAGTATTTTGATAATAGTCAATAGAAAAAAATATAACCACACACACTTTGTTTGCCCACAGAATAGTTACACATTATTAAATAAAAAGCGTCCCCGCACGAACCTCCGCCAGCAGGACCTCAATTTCAGACTCCGTAAAGTGGTTTTTTTTTTCTTTGTGCTCGTGCTTGTGCTCTATGCTTGTGCTTCAAGTATAGAAATTCGGATATTGGCGTGTGCTTTTATATGGTAATGATATTAATTAGGGGGCGTTTACAAGGCGGAGATCTGACACCAGTCAGCTGCGCACAATTTCAAGATCATTTGCGATTTATAAATGTCACATCTGGAAGAGAGGCGTACGCACGTTCATTTTCTTTGAATCGCACTTACGCACTTTTGAGAAATGATCTTAGAACAAATTTAGGACGGTTTATAAGCAACATTTTATAAATGAGGCCCCAGAACAGGTTGACAGGAATACACAGCAATGTTGGTTTAACTTGTGCTTTTATATTTATTTTTTTTGCTGGTTATTAGGCTAACCAAAAAGTCAAGGAAGGGGAAGGCACATAGTTTCGCTTGATTTTGTCTGTAACTGTTTAAAATACATTACCACAGTCTTTAAAAATTCCATGAACTCAAAATGAGAGTTTTGTGGCTTTTAGGCTTAGAGCTAACACACATCATCTATATATGCTAGCTCCTAAATGTTGACAAAATGCACTTTTAGCAGATACACTTGTCTTCCTCTTCCAGGAAAACAAACCAAAAATGTTGATGACATCCTGCACTTCACAGCCTTTTGATAGAGTGCTGGCGGATGATGTATTTTAGTAGGCCAAAACCTGAAAATAAAGTCAGGGTTTTTGTTTTTTTTATGGGTTTTTGGATAAATGCTTGAAATAAACTCTGTGTTAAACACAAGCTGAAGATATTTTCACATTTTATTCTACGACATAAAATATATCAGTAAATATGCCCTTGTGATTTTTTTTTAAAGCTTTTACTTATCTTAGAAAAGGGTTACAGAGGTTGTCAGGACATTAAATCTCATCTACTCACTACTGCACTTTCACAGACTTGTGTTTATATTTGCACTCCCGCAAACAATTGTAACTCAAACTTTCAGAGAAAATGTATTTAAATGTTTAAATAAAGACTGAAAGAGCTGTTGGAAGCCTTGTGACGTCGAAGTCAAGCGACTGTGGTGTAGTTTTTATTTATAGCCTATATTTAGCTTTGTATATCTGCTGATTGTATTTAGGCTTTAAAGTTCATAAAGTTTGTGAAGACTATCATGATGACCAAAACGTAAGAATAATAAACTTTTGTTGGTCACAGGGCTTATTTTCTGGAAAAATTCAAAAGCCATTGGAAAAATCTTAATGGGTTGAGGGAACCAGGGTGATGCTATCTTCTGGGTTGGCCTACAAAAACACACTGCAGCACTCTATTCCTGGTCCTGCCCAAACTTACTGTTTTACCATTTTTTTTAAAAGCACATTCATGGTGTTTTGACTGAATCCTCTGCAAACCTGAGAAAACTGTTGCAGGAATCCTTCTCAGGGTTCAACGTAAATTGTTACATTTAATTTGTTAGTGAGGCTCTGAGATTATGACTGACAAGGTTGAAAGCTGACAATGTGGAGAGCCTCTCCTCTGCATTTCCTCACAGCCGCCTCACATTCTGTCATCGTCACTGGTGCAGACTCTCCTTCCTGCTGCACACACACATGGATCCAAGCATCCAGGGATGAGCATTCCTCACTTGTCTTGCAACGGCAGCTGTTCGTTTGCGCTACAATGACACAATTGTTACAACCAAGAATTCCTGAATATTGACTAGTTGCAACATTTTAAGTCTGTAAATATAAATATAAAGCACTTTTCTAACCAGGTTCAAAAATACATTAGCAAGAATTTACAATTTCAAGCCATGGGTTCCCTCAGGAATTTCAAATGGGTTTTTCAAAAGGCAGTTTTTGATTTCTGTGGTTAGCATTATTTGAAGAGACTTCCACGATTTGTTTCACAACATGAAAACATTGTACTACATTCATGTTTGTGTATGAAAGCATGTACTTTGTGTTGTAAAACAAAAGGTGAAAATTTTGTCGAAAGTCATGTTAATCACAGATCTTCAAAATTTCAAAATAAATATAAAAAATGTCAAAATGTCTCGACACTCAGATTTACTTATTACAAAATGACCAATGTGAAAAAGAAGTGTGCTTAATTGATATTTTAAAGACAGAAGTAGTTATGAAATTACATATAAAGATTTATATTTAATATAATAGTTTTAATCTAAATTTAAACCATAATGTATTTTAATTTAATTGCAATTAACATGCAATTCATTGTCTGAAAACATTACATTCAGTTTGCACTTACGTATATTATTTCCTTATTAAGTACTCTTTTTAAAAGTATGCTAAAGTGTACTTCTTTTTCACAAGGGGATGTGTGCCATTATTTTATTTTGTATTTAACAATCCCTCACCATCACACTTCTCCCAGAGCGTGCAGTTCGGACAAGCAGTGGATGAGCGATGTGGCCACTGGCAGGCACTGTCTTCAGCAAGAGTGTACTGATGTCCCAGACAGCGCATAGCCTGTACTTTACACAGGCTCATTGTCCGTGCCCGACCACGCTTCACATCAGTGGCACATATCTCCAGGGAAGACCTGCAGAAGAGAGAAAGACACGACCCTTTATTAAACTGAAAATAAAATTTGTGGGTTTTGGTGGATGGCTTTTACATTTACATGTTTTTTTTTGGCATTTGTGTTGTGTAATGTACATGTCCTGTCTAGGAACATACTTGCACTCGTGGGGTACTTTACAGACACATTTGTCCTTTGACAGGTTCTCCCATGGCTGGCACTGCACTGGCTGCACAGTGGCTGACTTAAAAACTAATGGAAAACAAATAACTTTTACTTACATTTTACTCATACGCAAATCATTGTACTCACATTAATGCTTCATTTTTATGCATCAATACATTTCAAAATTTGTCAAACGACCTTGTAACGGTTGTCCCGTATCTACATTTCCTTCATTTTGACATAGTGTACAAAGCTGCACAGCTTCCAGACTAGTTTTGTACCTGTCAGACAACTGGTTTCTTTTGGTTGTGGTGACCAGGAAAGGCCAGCGTTGCACTGAATCTCAGCCGGGCCTTCTCTGACTTTCCCTTCAGGGCAGGAAAGTGAGATCGCGTCACCGATGTTATAGGTAAGCTTCCACGGGCTTCCAGTGACATCTGGAGGAAGCTGAGGTAGATCACATAATGTTTCTGCAGACAGCAAGCAACATTTAT